GAACGTGGGCCTGGCTTGTCCTGGAAACGCTCCCGGAGGAGAGCGGACGGAGGCCTGTGCCCCGAGCAGCCCGTGGGGAAGGCAGACCGGGACAGAGACTGGAAGTGTGGGGTGATGTGTTCAGTGAGGTGGCGAGTGACAGAAAGTACGGGAGACGCGCAGGGAAGCACCCCTACTATGTGCTGGGGGACTGACCTTTGCGGGTAGGCCTTGCAGAGGAAGAGGACACACAGGAACGTCAGCAAGAACCGAAGTGCAAGGCAGGGAAGCTAAAGACCCTGGTTTATAACATACTTTAGAGTCCAGCAACGACCCTGGAGGTTGGGCATATTGCTCCCCTTTGACAGATGAGGGCTCGCATGTTCAGAGCCAGCCCAGCGAGGGAGGGAGGGAGCCCGATCCAGTTCTCGGGTCCTGTTCTTTTCAGGCCACGACGCAGGGTGGAGTGAGTGGGGTCCTCGTGTGCAGGGTGGGAGCCTGAGACATGGCGACAAATAGACCAGAGTAGAATTCAGCATGAATTCATGGCACGAGGGCGGCCTGGCTTAGAGTTCTGTGGGAGCAGGAACACGTAGTGATTAAAATCCCCGGCTCTGGAAGGTCATAGCTGTAGGTTGGAATCTGAGCTTTGCCACTTAACTATCTGTGTTGGTGGTCCCTGAGGTCTCTGGAACGCTTTGTTTTTTTTTCATCTGTAAATTGGGAATGATAGTACTTAATAAGATGGCTGGAAGAGTCAGTAAGTTGGTGCTTGGGATGAAGTTAGCAGAGTGCTTTGGTGCAGCGTGAGTGCTCAACAATCCTTAGGTGTCACTGCTATTACTGTGTAGGGAGATGGCAATGCTGGCACGGACTGAAGTCATCGGGGAACTTCTAACAAAGTGGCCTTGAAAGAGGAAAATAATTAGGGTAGCGGATGGGAGCAGGGCCAGGGAGGGAGGCCGTCCCAGCAGGATGAGTGTAAGATTGGAGGCCCTGAGGTGTGTGGGCAGCAGTGAGGAGACCAGTTACCTGCCTCCTCTGAGGTGCTGTGTGACTGTGGCTTCCGCCAAGCTGGAGACTTGTGAGAAAAGAGCCAGCCTGGCCGGTGTGGCTGAGTGGTTGAACCAGGAGGTCACGTTTTGATTCCTGGGTGGAGAACATGCCTGGGTTGAGGACTTGATCCCCAGAAGAGGATGTGCAGGAGGCAGCCAGTTATATCTCCCTCTCCCTCCTTCTCTGAAATTAATAAAAATCTATTTAAAACAGAGAGAGAAAAGAGCAGAATTACCCTACATTTACCGAATAGCAGAAGCACTATTAGCCTGGCTTTGTACTGGCAAAGAATTTATATCCATTTCCTCCCCACAGCAATCTTGTGCGGTTGGAATTGTTTGCTCCATTTTACAGAACGGAGGCTGACTCCTAGAGGCATAGTGACTTGACTAAAGATCACCCAGAGAGAGGGGGGCAGAGCTGGGTGCTGAACTTGTGGCTCTTTGCTTGGCTCCCTCCCACCCCAGACACTCTAGCCCCCAGACAGGGCCTGTGTGGGTTTGGTGAACAGGCAAGGCCCCTTTTTAAATGCTTGTTTGTGGCTCTTCCGTGATTTGTCTGCTTCCTCTGTCTTGATGGCATTTTTAGGAACTTAAACCAATTGCTGCCTGGCACCATTCTTTTTCCCATATGTCTTATCTGCCCCCGTAGGACCTGGATCAATTTGGTGGTGATGATAGCTAAAGCTTGGGAAGCATGGTGGAGTTTCCAGAATAATAGAGAAGTTATATATTCAGTCACCATTGTGTTTTGCAGCAGCCCTACGGAATAGGAGGGCAGGAGTGAGTATTTGAGAAGAGAAATGAGTCTTAGAGAAGATAATGTCTTACCCACAGTCTCACTGATGGTTGGAGGGGAGGTTGATTTTGCATCCAGGTCTTTTACTGCTCTCCATGCTCATGGGCAGCCAGGCAGAGACAGTTAGACTATGAGAGGCTACAGAGGACGGAGGGGTGGGAGGTCATGTCCAGCTGAGACTGAGTGGAGCTAGGAGGTACTAGAGAGGCTCGAGTTGGCCGCTATTATCTCAGGCCCAGTGTGAAGGAGGCCAGTTCTAGCACCTGGCCTTGGCTTCCTGGGGGCCCACCAGTGACCCAGGCCAAGGCTGGTAGTGTCGAGAGCTTTGGCTTGCTCAGAGGGTATACAGACTCGACCCTGGGAATTACAGAGGCCTGAAGTGTGTGAGCTGACTTGCTCTTATTGAAAAGTCAGCATATTCGAAGAGCAGGGGATTTTGCATCAGGTGGTCTTCAGTACGAATTCCATCGCTGAACAGTATGACCCCGGTCAAGTCACTTGACCTCCCCAAGTATTTGAAATCATCATGAAACTCAAATGAGATTCTTCATATCCAGAGACGGGCCCTGGCACTTGGTGAGCACTTAGAAAGGCAGTGTTAGCTGTGGAAGTAGAGCTGAGCAGGTGCAAGCCCTGAGAGCGCTGGTGATGTGCTGCTGGTGATAGAGATGGGGTCAGAGGCTGGGTCTCCATTCCACACCATGCTGGGGCCCTACTGGCAGGCACTGCGGTGAAGTTTTGACCCGGAGTCCGGGAGAGGCTGGCATAAATTCTCAGGAAGTTGGGCTCCTGGGTTCCAATTGAGACACCAGCTTTGTGACCTTGATCCTGCTCCTTTTTTCTCTGAGCCTCGGTTTTTTGCCTGTCAGATGGGGAGGAAAAGAAGCTCCCCCGGTCAGTTGAAAAGGTCGTTATAAGCAGTTGATGAGGAATGATGTTCAGCACAAGATGCAGTACAGGTTGGAGATCCTGGTTGCTGCTGGGCCCCCAGACTACAGCCAGGGCCTCTCCCTCCCATTCCTAGAAAGCAAAGCACACCTCCTTGGAGCTGCCTTTGTCATGCAGCGTGCCCTGAGGGACCTATAGGAAACCAAATCCAGGAGACTGGCAGAGTCAGGGCTGAGCAAGGCCTGGGCCACATCAGAGTGGCTTGATGACAGTGCACAGACCCTAGAGCCAGGTTGCTTTGGTTCAAGTCCCACCTGTATGACTTCAACCATTTTCTTCATCTGAGAAGTGGGAGTCATCACAGTGCCTGCCTTTGAGGGTGGTGGTTTGATTGCATGCGTCATCCATGCAAAGCTCATACTAGAGTCCTGACGTATGGTGTGAACTGGAATATTCACCGCTGCTATTACCATCAAGGATGAAATCTGGAAATCGTACTAAAATCGGGTGTCTGAACCTGACAGTGGTTTTTTGTCATGCTCACTTACTTATGTCAGACTGCATTGCCAGGAAAGATGAAAGAATGAAGTATAAAATAAATATCAAAAATATAAGTCTTTGTTTTACTATGGTTGCAAATATCAAAAAATTTCTATATGTGACACGGCACCAGAGTTAAGTTAGGGTTTTTCAAAATGCTAACACGCCGAGCTCAAAAGGTTCACCATCACTGTTCTAGAGCCAGGTTGCTTTGGTTCAAGTCCCACCTGTATGACTTCAACCATTTTCTTCATCTGAGAAGTGGGAGTCATCACAGTGCCTGCCTTTGAGAGTGGTGGTTTGATTGCATGCGCCATCTATGCAAAGCTCATACTAGAGTCCTGGTGTATAGTGTGAACTGGAATGTTCACCACTGCTATTACCATCAAGGACGAAATCTGGAAATCGTACTAAAATCGGGTGTCTGAACCTGACAGTGGTTTTATGTCATGCTCACTCACTTATGTCAGACTGCATTGCAAGGAAAGATGAAAGAATGAAGTCCTCACTTCCTCTAACTAAATAATGAAAAAAAGCAACATATCACTTTGAAGATCACTTTGATGACTGGCATGCCCAGGACAAGCCCCTTGTGCCTTTAGACAGCCTGGGAGAAGGCCCCTGTGGGGTAGAGAGGAGCTGTAGGAGCTCCGCCAAGGGCACAGTCTCGGAGCACTCCAGCTGAGCGAGCAGTGCAGGGAGCAGAGGGCTCTGTGCAGAGATCTGTTTTCTGGGAGTGCGGGACGCGTGAGAGGAAGCGGTGGAGGGTGAGGGTTGGGAGGTCAAGGCTGGGAAAGTCACAGCCTACCGGGGAAAGGCTTTGAAAGCTAGAACAAGAGTTTGGGCTTTGGCTTGCTGGCAGTGGGGGAACCACGGGAGGGTATTGAGCAGTGAGGGCTGTGGTCAGCCTTTCCTGGGGAAATTGCACACCTCACTCCTGCCCTGTATAGGTTCAAGGACTGCTGCATATCCTTCCTTCTCCCTCCCCCTCCCCCCCCCCCCCCCAAAAAAAGATCAGGAATTGGCCTGGCCTGGCCTGGCTGTGGTGACCCTGTTCTTCTGTCTCCAGAGAGATCCTGGTAGAGGAGAGCAACGTGCAGAGGGTGGACTCGCCAGTCACAGTGAGTACCCGCTGTCCCTCCGAAGCCTGGCGTGGTTTGGAGGCATGTAGACATTCGCTGTAGTCTTGTGGGCTCCCTCATCCCTGGGAGCCCCATCTTCAAGGGCCCCTCGCTGTAAGAAATGGAAGTTGTGGGAAGGGTCTTTTGACTTGTTGGAGAGAGACTCTGGGCCAGGGCAGAAGGACCCTCCATTTGGTAAGTGATTCTACTCCACATGTTTCTACATGTTCTTTGTTGTCAGGAACTTCATTCTGGGTACCTTGAGGGGAGCAGGGAAAGCAGGGGCCAGGTCCTCCAGGAGCTGCAGGTCTGAAAAGACCTGGCTCTAGCTCTTGCCCAGAGAATAGTTGGCATTCAGTGTGGGATGGAGGTGGACTGCAGACCAGGCTAACGTGGGGTGGGACAGTAGATTTTGGGCCCTGAGAAGCAGAGGCTTAGCGCTGGCTCTAGCTCTTGCCCAGAGAATAGTTGGCATTCACTGTGGGATGGAGGTGGATTGCAGACCAGGCTAACGTGGGGTGGGACAGTAGATTTGGGGCCTGAGAAGCAGAGGCTTAGCTAAGAGTGATAATTTGAAGATATCCCCTGGGAGCAGAGGCTTTTAGATGGTGAGTTCCCACACACCTTCTCCCTTCCCAGGTATGCGGTGACATCCATGGACAATTCTATGACCTCAAGGAGCTGTTCAGAGTGAGTGTGGGTCAGCACTGGGGAAGGTGACCTGGAGGGTGACTGGAAGGCCCCTTTGAGAGGGAAAGCTTGAATTTGGTGAGTGGAGTGGGGGCAAGAGGCCTCTAGTTAGGTGGGCCCTTTGTGAAAGAAGGGCTTCAACTTGACTGAGTAGGGGACAGTTTAGGACCTTCTCCCTCCCCCCAGGTGGGTGGCGACGTCCCTGAGACCAACTACCTCTTCATGGGGGACTTTGTGGATCGTGGTTTCTACAGCGTTGAAACGTTCCTCCTGCTGCTGGCACTTAAGGTGGGGACTGCTGTCTTCTGGAGCCCAAACCTGGGCCACCTCAGGCCTGACCTGTCTGCATCCTTTCCGCCCTCCTCTCCTGCTCCATCCACCCCCAACTCTGAGCTGTGCTGCTGGTGATGACAGATTCTGCTTGGCAAGGGTGGTCACAGAAGCTTTCCTTGACTTGGGGGCACCTGATTGGGCCCCTGGAGGATGAGGTCAGAGGGGTGGCATTGTAGGGGAGGGAATAGAGGCTCAGTCTGCTCAGAAAATGACAAGGAGTTGAGTTCAACTGGATACAACATCCACTGGTGGGAGAGAGGTTGTAAGGGGCCAGATGACAAAGCACCTTGAATGTCTTGCTAAGGTCTTGGTCTCTCTCTGGGAGGTGAAAGAGGAGCCTTTAGGTGTGTAGTTGATGGGGTGCTGGCGGCGGTTGGGGGGTGTTGTATTTTCTGAAGGAGGGCTGGGAGCCTATGAGGTGGGTACACCACCATTCAGGCAAGAGATGGCATTAATCTGGGCCAGGGTGGTGATGAGGATGGAGTGGGGCTGACAGATGTGAGGAGATGTAGGAGGGAGAGAGAGAGCCTGGACCCCAGCCCTAGCTTGGTGGTTACTTTCAGGTTCGCTATCCTGATCGAATCACCCTGATCCGGGGCAACCATGAGAGCCGTCAGATCACACAGGTCTATGGCTTCTATGATGAGTGCCTGCGTAAATATGGCTCAGTGACCGTGTGGCGCTACTGCACTGAGATCTTTGACTACCTCAGCCTGTCAGCCATCATTGATGGCAAGGTAGGCTGCCCAGGGCTCCGTGGGGGTGGGAGAGGTGGGAGAGGCACTGGGCCTCAGCCTCCCTTCCCTCCTGCCTTGCTCTCCCCTGTAGATCTTCTGCGTGCACGGGGGCCTCTCCCCCTCCATCCAGACCCTTGACCAGATCCGGACGATTGACCGAAAGCAGGAGGTGCCTCATGATGGTCCCATGTGTGACCTGCTCTGGTCTGACCCTGAAGGTGAGGGCAGGTGGGGCAGGGCAGCCAGGCTTTATCCTTAGTTTGCTGAGACACTGAGTCCTTTGGTTAAAGCAAGTACCTTGAAAGGACACTGAGACCAGGTACGTTTGGGGAAGAGCAGAGCGGGCTGGTCTTCACTGGCGTCTGTCCTTGACGTGCAGACTGGCTGGCACCCTCAGCAGGGGCATGGGTAGCTGGGTGCTTTGAGCTCGGGCGGAATTAGGGTCTGTGTATCAGAGGCTTGTTTAGGACAAAATCATTGGCTCCCTGCATGCGAAGGGGCTTTTGCAGAGGTCAAATGCTTACAATGATCGGCCTCTGAGAACCCCTCATTTGGGGAGTTCCTGAGCTAGTATGGAGCAGGGCTGAGGCTGAAAGCCTAGGTACCAGTCCAGGGCTCCTTCTGCTATAAGACAGTCTCCACTCTCCCCCTGCCATGCCTGAATGCCCTGTTACAGCTCCCAGACTAGCTGTGGCAGCCCTTGCTCACACCTGTATGCGGCGTGGTTCTTAGAAGCACCACCTTTCACTCCCCTGTGTACCTAGTTAGACAGTAACTTGCATGGCCACTCCGATTGAGGTGACTCCAACTATCAGGAAAGTCTCATCATTGGAGCTTACCTGCTTCAACATTTGCAGAACCCCCAGAACCCCCCAGAACACAATCAGGCCCTGTCCTCTTGCCCCACAGGCCTGATTGGGGGAGGGGGCAGGATATTCTCCTTCGAAGGGCAGTGGGCAGTCAGATGCCTTGAGGACACCTCTCCCCATCTCTGCCTTCATTTGCCTCAGACACAACAGGCTGGGGTGTGAGCCCCCGTGGGGCTGGCTACCTATTTGGCAGTGACGTGGTGGCTCAGTTCAATGCAGCCAACGACATTGACATGATCTGCCGTGCCCACCAACTGGTGATGGAAGGTTACAAGTGGCACTTCAATGAGACTGTGCTCACTGTGTGGTCGGCACCCAACTACTGCTACCGGTGAGCTGCCTGGGTCAGGAGGTCACGGTGGGGGTGGGATCTAGGCTGACAGACACTAACTGCCGCCCTCGCCCTCCGACTTGCAGCTGTGGGAATGTGGCAGCCATCTTGGAGCTGGATGAGCATCTTCAGAAAGATTTTATCATCTTTGAGGCTGCTCCCCAAGAGACGCGGGGCATCCCCTCCAAGAAGCCCGTGGCTGACTACTTCCTGTGACCCCTTTGTCCCCTGCCCCCACCCCCCTCCAGTCCCTCTGCCCTTGGACCACTGTGACTCTACCCTCTTCTCCAGATGGAGGCTGGGCATGGGGGCCTGTCCCCAGCTCTGCTCTCCCTCAAAGAGGGCACTTCGAGGGTGAGGACTTTCTCTGGAGAGGCTCGGAGCCTGAGCTCCATGCTCCTCTCCTTTCTCCCCACCTGAACCATGAAGTTTCCAATAATTTTTGTTTTTCTTTTTTTCATTTTTTTTGGTTTGTTTTTAGATAAAAAATTTTGAGAAAAAGAAAAAATTCTAATAGAAGAACTACGGTCTTTGGACTTGTGTCAGACTTGATTGGGGATGAGCAGTGCTGCTGCCTGGGACCTGGGATGGACCCCACCAGGAAGGTGAGGCGCAGGCCAGCCCACTTGCCCACAGCCTCCTGACCCATCCACTGACAGTGACCGCTCCTGAGTGCGAGGTAGAGGGCCGGCCCTCAGAGACGGCCTGTTTAATTCTCAGAACAGTGAGTGTCAGGGCATTGCTTCCCCCGTTTTCTTGAAGAGGAACCAGGCCCAGAGCAAGTGGATTTACACACACAAGATCAAGCAGCTGGAAATGGCAAGTCTAGGTCAGGGGCCGGGGTCTCCCCACAAAACCTTCGCTCACCCAGTCCCTCCCAGGGCCAAACACCATTAGCCCAATGTTTCCGGAGCACTGATGTCTTTTGAGTTTTATTAACAAAAATACTCTGGTGTGGCTCGCACTGGGGCAAGGAGATAATGACTAGCTGAGCCCAAGGGTGAAGCCAGGAGTTGGTGGTGCTGGTCCAAGGCCCCATTTGGCCAGGCAGAACCTCCCTCTCTTCGCACGGAGGTGAGAGCCTGGAAGGGGAAGCTGGCCCCAGCTGGACTCCCAGCAGCTTAGCCAGAGCTTTGAAGCCAGAGGGGGTGGGAATGAAGTCAAAGTGTGAAGTGGGGTGGAGGAGGCCCAAGGCAGCCATTTGGTGTGGGGGATGGGGTCAGTGGAAGTGAGGGGGCTACGGCCTGGGGGAAGGGAACTGGAAATTTGTAATGGAGCCTGAGGGAGGCAGAGGGGCCTGGCAATGGCTCAGTACATTGGTTTGGACCCCATGTCCAGATAGGCCCCAGGGTAAGGTAAGGGCAAGGGGCCCCCTTGGAGGAAGTGTGAGGCAAAGGGTGCTGGGGGTGCAGCCGCCGGGTACCCTGAGCTTCCTGGCCCAGACTGCAGCTCTAGGAATGCAGCTGAGTAGGGGGCTGGGCGCCCCGAGTCTGGAGCCTGAGGGAAGCTGGGGTTCCTGAAGTGGAAAAAGGTGTCAGAACATTGGAGAGGGACCCCCACACTGGAACAGCCCAGCCTGTGCCCTGGTCCCACTCACCTGGTTGGAAGGTGACTGGGAGCCCCATGGAAAGCTGCAGGGTGCAGAAGGTAGGCCTCAGCACTGGAGCCACCACACACAGGAGCTGGGGCAGGGGCAGCTTCCCTGGGCGCGGGGGCCTGTTCTGGATCTGACTCACGAACATCCCCACCCAGGGTGGAGTCACAGGGACCACCTGGTGCATCTCGGGAGACAGAAGAACCAGGTTGGGCTAAGGGAGATCAGCACCTCAGGCCTGGCCCCATCACCATTGGGACTGTACTCACCTCCACTCCCATAGGCCTCTGTGGCTACTGGCTCTGGGCCCCGCAGTTTCCTCTTAACACGGGCATCTCGCTCCCTGGGAAAGACAATGATGATAGTGATGATGATATCACTTACCAGGTGCTAGACATTCACCCTACCAGGTGTCATTACTATACCCATTTTTCAGATGAAGGAACTAAAGGCCAGAGAATTAAATAACTAGAAAGTAGTAAAGCTGGGACTTATTCCCCACTTAGAACTTTCCAGTGGTTTCCTATTGCATTTAGAATAAATGGAAACTTCTTCCCAAGCTACGAGGCCATCCCACCTTGCTCTGGCCATCTTCACTAGCTGCCTTTCAGTCTTCTCTTCTGTCCCCTGTTCACCTGCTTAACTCATCCTTGTCTCCATTCAGGCATAACTTCCTCAAGGAGGTCGCTGACCACCCATAGCACAACATGCCCTCCCTGGTAACATTTGTCATAGTTACACTGTTAACATTTGTTAGGGTCATCTTGATTAATGTCTGTCTCTTCTGCCTTGAAGGCAAGGACCAGTTCAGGGGGCTGTACTCAGAATAAAAGCCAAAGTCCTAACTAACCCTTTACTGTTTAACATAATCTGTCTCCACCTCTCTTGTCATTCACGGGTGTGTTCCCACCTCAGGGCCCTTGCACATGCTGGTTCCACACTCAGCATGCTGTTCCCAAATAGCCACATGGTTCCCTCCCACATTTCTGTCTAGTCTTTTCTCAAAGGTCTCTTCTCAGTGAGGCCTTTCCAGGCCTCTTATCTAATAAATACCTCACTGCAGTTCTTCCTTGCCTTCTTTTGTCTTTAGAACTTACCCCTAACATATATCACTGCTCTTGTTTAGTTGTCTGCTTTGCCCACCAGTGTATTAGTTCCATGAGGACAGGGCTTTCGTTTGTCCTCTTTACTGATGCTTCTCCAGTGCCTAGAACTGTGCCTGGCACATAGGTGCTAAATAAGTATTTGTTGAATCAATGAATGAATAAATGTTTTAATTTACCATTAATGTCTATTAACTCCCCACTATGTGCTTGACACATAGTGGGGGATTAATAAACATTTGGTGAATGAATGAGTGAATGAATGAACGGTGCCCACCTCTTACAGTTTCTGCCATTCTCCCGGAAACCTTTGGCAAAGGGGTTGGCTGCAATCTTCAGTTGTGTGATCTGGGGGCACATATCCAGAGTCAAAGCTCCTGCAGCTGAGGCAGGGTGCCACCACCCACCCCCCTCAAGCAGGGTCACTCACCCGTGGGTTCTGGTAGGCTGTCACAGAGATGAACATGGTCTCAGGGAAGCGAAAGGAGGCAACGCCCCCCCAGTGTTGGCTGCAAAGCTGTGCGGCCCGCACTAGGTGTACGCGGGGCTGATACTTGTGCATGGAGTGCAGGATCAGCTGGGAGGGAAGAAACAGAAGTGACCCCTAGCCCTGGGTTCCAACCCCAACCCCCAGCCTGGGGTCCCAGCCTGGGCCTCACGTGGCCATGAGGGTCCAGTGTGCTGTTGGTGAGCTTGACCCGATGGAAAGATACAGGCTGCCGCATCCAGTGGGCACCAGTAGCAGGGGAGTCAGGGTGAATGTAGACACGGTCAGGCAGGCGGGGCTCGGCTTTGCCGCTGGGCTCCCAGCGCCGTCCCTGCCAACGGTAGCGAGCTCCGTCTACTGGCACCACATCCAGAAGGAACAGGTAGCGGGCCTCAGGGTCCAGGCCAGTGACTGACACTCGACAAGCGGGGAACATACGTCTGGATGGGAAAGAAGACAGGAGAGCCTTGAGCTACCCAGCAGCTACAAGCAGGCACAGTGCTGACAAGGGGGCAGAGCCACCAGCTCAGAGTTTGTCAGGGAACATTCGAGCTGGAGTTAGAACTGGGGGGAGGGCCTGGAAGCTTGTTCCATCCCATTTTTAAAATCTTATATTCATTTGGGCACTATTTTAACACAGGCTATTTTAAATTTCAGCATTGTTTTCTGTGTGTTGTCTCCAGGAATCTTATAAGTCTACTTTCCTATAAAATTTGGTCTACCAAAATCAATACATAACTGATTTGACTAATTATAGCTTAAAGTGACAAAATATTTCAATGAAAACTAAGCATATTATTCATGAGTTAGGTCTCAAGGTTTTGGTTTCATAGGAAGGAAGCTCTCTATTATGTGGATCTGTAAAATGATCCAAACTTCAGAGACAGGAAGCTGATAACTTGATTTATCTTAATGGCTTTGGCTCTTGAATAAATGATAATGGTTTGTTCTTCTTATAAAAAGAAATGGAGCCCGGCCGGCATGGCTCAGTACTTGAGTGTAGACCTATGAACCAGGAGGTCACGGTTTGATTCCTAGTAGGGGCACATGCCCGGGTTGCGTGCTTGATCCCATGTGGGGTGTGCAGGAGGCAACTGATCAATGACTCTCCACCCATTGATGTTTCTCCCTCTCCCTTCCACTCTCTAAAAATCAATGGAAAAAATGTCCTCTGGTGAGGATTAACCAAACACACACACACACACACATCCCAACCCTGCTTTCAATGGAGAAGATACCATGCCAGGGCCTGAGTTCCTGGCCTAGATAAAGAGCTCCACAAGGTGTCCTCTGGTGAGGATTAACCAAACACACACACACACATCCCAATCCTGCTTTCAATGGAGAAGATACCATGCCAGGGCTCGAGTTCCTGGCCTAGATAAAGAGCTCCACAAGGCCACACACTGACCATATCCCTGCCTCCAAGGTGACCCCGGATCTAGTCATGTGCTGACAAACCTTAATGCTAACCCTGATCCTAGCCAGACTTCCCTGACGCTGGTCACTGGCTGGCCCTTGACTCTAGTTATAGTCTGAAGCCCAACTCCAGCCATAGACTGACCCCTTGATCTAGGCCACATGCTAAGCTATAATCCAGCCAGACTTTCTGGACATGGCCCAGACTGACCTATGGCTCTTGCCTTAGGTTGGTCCCTAAACCAACCACAGGCCTTTGCCACATGACCCGTGATCAGTCACTGAGTAACCCCTGGCCCAGACCACAACCACATTCTGAACTTAGGCAGAGCTCTAGCCCCCCTAGAAACCCTCAAACTGGCCCCATCACCAGGAACTCTGCCTTTCCCAGAGACCCCCCACCAGAACACACTGGGTCCTGTGACCCTGGCCCAGCCCCCTCACCTCCCAGCTTTGGTGATGATCATCTCTGTTCCCACAGAATTGAACTCTTTCCACAGCTCCTGGTTCTCCAGGCTCAGGCTGACTCCAGGGAGTGAGTGAAGGGCCTCTGGGGCTGGAGGAGACGGCTCAGTGCCCAGGGCTGGGGGCAGAGGGGGAAGAGGTGGGGGAGCCGCCAGGGTGCGGGGAGCAGCCTCAATCCCGGAGAGGAAGCAATCCAGTTTGGGAGTGTCCAAATCTGGAGATGGGGGGAGAATGAGGAGCCAGCCCAGGTCCACAGCAACCCTCAGTCCCTACAGGAGCTCCTCCCAAAGCTCACCAGGGTAGCGGTAACCCTCTGCCAGGGCAGGCGGGAAGCTGGAATCGGTCACTGGCTGGGGGGGCCCAAGGCGGTAGCCGGTCCCCAGGGAGGGGTACAACTCTCTTGGGTGATACATGGAGTAGTCCTGTCTGGCCTCAGGTCTGGCTGCCTAGAGTCCCCTGGTGCTGGGAGATGCCCCCTTTATAGCTCACAGCTCAGCCCCTTCCAGACCCAGGATCACAGCCCCTCCCTCTTTGGGGCCCTGGAGTTGGGCTGGGGTGGAGACCCCTGGGGCCTGGAAGGGGTACAAGAGGGGGCCGGATACCTGGGCACCCTCCCCCGCAGGCTTCATTAGCCTCGACCCCCTGCCCCTCATTACATAATTAACTCCTCGGCCTGATTGATCCCCGGCACTTGGACAGGGACGCAGTTTGGCGCTTCCGGCCAGCTGGTCCCCGTTCCCACGGGGGGAGCCCCAGCTAGGGCTAAGCTACTGAGGGGGCGGGGCCTGCACCCTGGGATGGAGCCTGGAGCCCTGGGGCAGACCTTGGCGGCTCAGACTCCTAGCAGGTGACCCCCACCACCCTCACTGGGAGGATGGGGCTTGGAGGGAACGAGCCGGCTGGAGGGATGGAGCCTGAGCATATTGTTACGCAGGGCACTGGAGTCCGCAGCCGAGGGCCGAACCCTGGAGCCCTTCCTGGTTTTCATTCTCCACCTTCATTCAAGTCTCAAAAGTTTACAGGTCTCCACAGCTCTACAGCCCCCAACCGGCTGCTGCCTGGGTTTTTCAGAAGGTCCCGTGCTGGGGAGCACTGGGAACTACACTTCCCAGCAGACCCAGCGCCAACTTAGCCGCAGAGAAGATCGAGAGATGCCGCGGGGGCCGCTGGGTGGTGGCAAAACGCTAAGGTTGAGAAGACGATCAACCGAGATCAAGGTCTAGGGAGCCAGGGTGGGCTCCGGAATCCCGGGCAGTGAGACCTGTCCCGGGTCCTAGAGAAGATGGCTGAGGCCAGGCCCCAGGAGCGCAGACTCCCACCTTTAGCCGGTGCCTACCTACCTGCTGCCCCATTGGGGCTCAGATGGGAACAGTCTATAGAGGCAGGATTCTGCACTTGAGTTCCCCCTTCCCGATTCCACATAAGCCTGGGGCTGTCTCCGCTTCATTGTTTTATTATATACAAACGCTACAGAACTAGGGGAGGGGACACGCGTGCGGTAAGAGGCGCCCAGTGGGAGGAGTTCACAGGGCAGACGCTGCACTGGGCTAAGAGAACAGCACACAGGGCCATATCGATGGGGTAGGCGGGGCGGGAAGAGGTTAAAAAATGAGATCCAAGCCAGCCAGATCGCAGGGAGGTGGGGGTGGTGGTGTCCCACCTTCTGATCTCCCCCCAAGGTCACAGTGCATGCAATAAAATATATGTACAGGAGCCGAGTCCTTCCTCTGCAGGGGCTCTGCGGGTCCAGAGCTCCCTTCCGGCAGGGAAGGGAAGCCAGTGGCGCCCCCTGGCGGCCAGGCCGGGCTGGAGCCACATGAGGCAAGAGTGGGGGTCAGTCCCAGCCGTTGTCTTTGATCATGTGGTTGAGTTCAATGATGTACTTCCCCTCTTTGTACTTCTGGCTGCTCTCGAAGGCCTGTTCCTAAAAGGAGGGGAGAGCCTGTCATCCCTGGAGCAAGGGCCTTACCAGCAGGGATAGAGGTTGGGGCATGGATATGACTGGCCCTATTTCATATCTGAGGAAGCTGTCACCCAGAGAAGCCAAGCCATCTGCCCACAGACACAGAGCTGGTAAGTGGCAAGGTCGAGTTTCTCGCTAGTGGGATAGACAGAACTCCCTGAGTAGTGGGTGCTTTTAAAAGTGCTAATGTTGGCTCCAACAATGAGGATATGTAAGTGTCTACAAGACCCAGGGATTACAAACTGGTAGCCCGAGTGCCAATGTTGGCCTACATGTGTGTTTGTTGGCCAGTAGGGAATTTAATAGAAATAACTGAATTACTAACATAGAGGCAGGCTGTGCTGCCTCCAATCTATGTTGCCCCTTTTGCAGGTCCACAGTATCTGCTTGGCCCTGCAAGCACTTGAGTTTTTGACCTCTACACTGGCCACCTCTTTGTTTTACAAAGTTCCAGGGAGGCCAAGCCACCTGCACAGGTACACAAAGCAAATCTGTGGCAGGGCCAGGGGTGAACTCTGGTCAGGGCTGCCTGTCTGCCTCTGCCTGGGGCATCCACATCACCAAGGCCCCACAGCTCCAAGCAGCTGCAGTTTCCCAAGAGCATCTTCTGCTGCTGCATCTAATCTGATCTCCATAACAGTCTTGGGTGCCAAGTGGTGGCTTTATCCTCCACTGCCAGGTAAGGAAATGCAACGCGGAGCAGTGAAATCAGACCCTGGACAGCAGCAGTGGTAAGGAGGCCAGTGGAAAAGGAGGCACATGGACCCAAGCTCTGTGTGGCTGTGGGGTCTTGGGCAACCTCTCTGACCCTCTGAATGGTAATAGAAGCTGGGGTCAAGGGTTTGGAGTTAAAAACAAAATCAAGTAGGACTCTGGTCCCTATTATGTTACTTGCTGGATGTGTGACCTTGGGCAAGTGACCTAACATCTCTGGGCTTCCTTCTTTTGTAAAGTGAAGAGAAAGTAGACTCTACCTACAGGATTGTTGTAATTATTGTTGTGATGCACATAACAATAAGCATTTTTGGTAATAAACGGTAATTCTGATTATATCATCATCTCTAAAATGGGGTGCTTGTGCCTGTGAGGAGATGGATGGGTTACGAGAGAAAAAAAAAGCCTTTGTCTGATATGAGAGATGAAAACATGGTCAGGGGATGAAAAGACTGTTTGACTTGTGTGAGCTGGGCCCATACACTCTGAAAGATTATCCGATGACTGCTTGTGATGTGAGGTCATGTCAAAAGCTAGCTTGGGATCAGAGGTCACTGACTCACATATTTCCAGCCCAAAGTGGTCTTGCAGTTCTCGCAGTGGATATCAGCGACAGCATGAAGGCCTGTCAGCAGCACCCGCTCCTCGGCTGGCCCGCAGCCCACGTTCACCCTGTGGGGACAGGGGGCAGTCCCAGGGAGGGTCCCGCCATCACAAAGCCCAACTCTAGCTTGTATCCAACTGTGTCTGTCCTTAGCTTCTTGCCTGAACCAAGGGGCTTTGAGGGTCTCAGCATGGTGCCATGGGTCACAGGTCACAATAGAGGTCAGGAAAAGAAAGACAGGAGGCCAAATACTCACACAGAATTGAAGAGGTAGGCACGCCCCTGACTGCCCTGGAAGGACTAAAGGATGAAAGGGAGAGAAGAGGGGGTCAGGGTGGGGAGCTGCCAAGCAGCCCTCAAGCCTCCCATTCCAGCCCCAACTATGATCCAGTTACCTTGGAGATGAGGTCGTCGTGGTTGGCCAGGTGGGCACGGCAGTGGGCACAGCTATACCTCCGGTGACAATCATCCAAGTAGGCCTGAAACGTCTTGGGTTTTGAAATCCGCACCATGGCGGGGGCCAGGGGCAGTGGCCCCACGCGGGGAGCGGCCCACGGAGAGCAGAGGGAGCCCAGTGCCTGTTGGGGAGGGAGGGAGTGTATTGTCAGGACCCCAGCCACACACAAGCGGGCACGCCCAGGGCCACGGGGACTCTCTCAGTGTCACACTTGGCTGCTGTCTCCTCTCCCCAGAGCCAGCAGCCTCTCCAGGGGCCAGAACTGGCTCAGTTTTGACTCACTGAAGAGGCCCCAAGTTGCATCATTGGGGAAACTGAGGCTAGGAGGAGCCCAAGATGAGTCACCCACCTGCTTTCAGCCTCACCCCAGCTGACCTGGCAACTGAACCTGGAGGAAGGGGCTCTAGAGTGGATGAGCTGTCAGCTCTGTTTAGGGGAGCAGGAAGTGGCTAGGAATTGGATGGTCTTTAGGACCTCAGCTGAACTGCGGGGGGCGGAGCTGGGGGGCGACTGCAAGTACCTTACGGGGAGCTCACCTGGGGGAAAGGTCCCGCACCCGGAGGAGGCTGGGGCCTCCCCGAGGTTGGAGGGTCACCGAGGGGGGTGGAGCTCTTACCTGGGGACGCCGAACCTCGTCTATGCCGAGGGGCTCTTACCTGC